TAACATCTTCTTCAAGTATACCTACCAACACTCAATTTTCTCTAATTATTGACATGTTATTGCACTCTCTGTTTCACCTGTCACCCTTATTTTTTCCCATGCTAGCCTCATCCCTAACAACACTTATGCACTTTCTATTAACAATATTCAACCTAATTTTCTCGCAACTATGAGAAACACTTTTGTCCAAATACCACCCTAATATTTTCCTCCACCGCCATTTATGGGACCCGTTTACATCAATCCCTCAAATATCTTTTCAAACCAACCTCTCTCCTATTTTCCATTAATACCTCTCAACATGATTCTCCAACATACCTAACGATAATTTAATTTTTATCAATTACCACCTAAAAAATGTTTAACTTTAGTTGCATTTTACATGAAGGGTGATATTTTATGCTAGTTTTAATGGATCCACAGAAATCATCAGTTGTTAGATTAATTTTCATTTACATAATCATTAGAATTATGATTTGGCCTTTCAACTTATGTGAAATATTAGGCAAAATTATTTTAGTTTCAATAATAGGTTTTAATTATTAATTACCATGATAAATTTGAGAAGTTGGGAAATTAGATTGTGGGAATTCCTTAAGAAGGTATTCTTGACTGTTTTATTTTTAGTCAAACACCAAAAATTAGAAATAAAATGGATATTCAAAGACATACTTCTATATCTTAAGCAATTAGCCTTACGAAACTCATTGAAGCCAAATTAAGAGATGTCAAATCCAAATTTCAAAAGTCCTTCCCTGGCCCCTTTCATCTGCACAAACTCTGCCATATAAAATACCCACATTCAATAAACCAAAAGCTCAAAATTTCCACAAAACACTTCTAACTCAAAATCTCCATCGACAACCCAAGCACCTAAGCTACCAATACAAATCCTATTAAAAACTCAATGAGTATGGGACATAATCCTTTTGAGACCACCTCAAATAACCTTTGTTCTCCTTGAAAGTAGATGATTGTGCCATGTGTGAAATAAACCACTTGTACAACAAAGGTGCACAATAGACAATGGTACCATTTCTCTTAGAAGTCCTATGGTGGATGGAGAATTAAGTGTTGCCAAGTAGAGTTGGAACTGGATTTCCAATCAAGAAGATCCTAATAACATTAACATTAACAAAGTTGTCAATGTTAGGGAATAAGACAAGTCCATAGATGAGTAAAGCCATAATAACCTCAAAAGCCATCATGATACCAGCACTAGCGATAGTATAAGCTCTCTCAATCAGAAACTTAGAAGTCAACCCCCGAATGCCTCCCTTAATAGTAAGATTGACGTATATGTCAGATTTCCTCAAATGAATGGTTGCACCAATAACTTGGGATTTGGGAACTTCCTTCAAACCAGTGAAAGGGACTCTGTCAGAAACTGGTATACCCACAATATAAGCGTACTCCTCCAAGGTAGGTAACAACTGATAATCACGAAAGGTAAAGCACTAGTAGATAGGATCATAAAACTGCACAAAAGTGTTGAGAACTTTGTCTTCGACGTTGGTAGAAAGAATAGACAAAAGTCTTCCATGATGAGATTTGAAGTCCATAGAATAAGTCAAAAAGAATACTAGCTTTCTCAAATCTTTAAGATCAGGAGCTCTAAAACTATAGTTCTGAGTGTTTCTCCTTCCAATGTCCATAATCTCAAGATATGCGATGCTTGCTAAGACAATCTCTAAGTTCCTTGAAAACGCATTGAAACAATATGTTCATGAATACATGAGTGCATGATTATGCAACAACCACAAACAAGATTCAAGGGTTTTGAGTCACGAGCATGGAGCCAAGGGTTATAACCACCCACAAGGTATGTACTAGGAGTTAATATCACCTTTACGACAAGGTTCTACAAAGGTTCCCAGAGTCGTAATTCCATCTTTTGGATATTACCGGCTTAAACGACTACTCGTAAGCCTAATATTCTCAAGAGAAACTCGTCTGAGTATAGTATCGTGTAACAACTAGTTCAAGTCTACACCTGAATAGCCACCGCACTAAGTTCTAATAAGGCTAAGATGGGTTAAGGGGTTATAAGGTCCTCAATTTCTTGTGCTTTCAGGTCGAAAGTAAAATGCCTTCACAAATACTTGTTCATCATATTTACCCTCAAGGAGGCCTCCACTAAGTGGGGGATCTTAAGTCAGCTTATTATGGATTAAATCTACGTAAGCCAAACATGACTATACCACTACCATATCATAATTGCTCTCAACTCTGGGTTTAGGACTTATCTCACCACTCAGAGATCACCAAGTACCAGACAAAAAAAAAAACAGCAAATAGTAGATATAATACAAACATAAATAAACAAAGATAGGCTTGACCCACTAAAGATTACTCCAAAGCAGAGTCTCAATTTTTTGTAGCTGTAAAATTTGAGATTAATCTAGTGATTAACTTAACTCATAAGGCAAGAGTCGTCACCTTACTTTTATTTTTCCAAACCATTGTTCTTAAATACTTATGTTTGTTATCATCATAAAGAGGGAGATTTGTGGAACAAAATTGATTTGTCCCATATCCATTAGATTTTGATGATAAAAAAATATTTAAAGAAAAATTGGGAATACAAATATTTGTTCAAGTGTGCAGGACCATAGACTAAAATTTCATATAGAATTCAAGTATTGGTTCTGACTATGAACATCTAAAGAGAAGTTTATAGACCAAAATTTGATGGATTAGAAGCTGAAGACCAGACTCTGAAGAAGTCAAATTCTAAAGAGGTCAATGTTTGAAGGTCAGAGTCTGAAGGAGTCAGCCTCTGAAGACCAGACTTTGAAGAAGTCTGCTTCTGATGATCATAACCTGATCCAGTCAAAGTACTAGGACCAAGGTGACTCTGATAGGTGATTGTTCATCTCTGAACCTACTTTGTCGCGTGAAGATCTAAAGCTCTAACTTTTCATAGAGTCTGTTAGAATGCAACTGCTAATTCCTTTTGTAGCAAAGAGATTTCAAACTAGTTTTCACCATCTTTGACTATTTAGTGAAGTATCCCAACGTCTCTTTTAAATCTTCTCAAAGGATCTTCTGTGTTTTTCTCCAATGACTCTTTTCCTTCTTTATTTAAAAAGCTGAAGACTTGAAGAAAACTACTGATTCTATTGACATTAAAAAGAAAAGTTTCTCTGTCAAAACAAATTGCAAGCAAAACTGAGGATTCTTATCCTTATATATTCTAGAAAATATTCAAGTCTTAAAGAGTCTATTTGCATTGTATTATATATACACCTCGGATTGTATATCAAGTGTATTTTCTCAAACAATCATTTATATGTTAGGTAGATTGTTAGAAATCTCTTACTAAGTGTTTGAGCATTTGAAGTCTCTTGATTATGTGCTTAGGTATAAAAGTCTCTTACTTTAGTGTTCTAGCATTTAAAGTCTCTTGTTTGTGTGTTTGAGTCTAAAAGTCTCTTACTTTAGTGTTTAAGCATTGGAACTCTCTTGCTTATGTGCTTGAGCATAGATGTCTCTTACTTAATTGTTTGAGCATTGGAATTCTCTTACTTGTGTGCTTCAGCAAATTGTAATTTTGTGTGATTATAGTGAAAATATCTTGTGAGTACAAGTAGACTAGATTATTCTGAAGTTGTGAGAAGAACCAAGATAACCCTGTGTGTCATTCTTCTTTCTTGCATTTCATATCCGCTTCTTACCATTGATTGAATCAAATTCTACAACTTGTGTTTAGAATTTGACTAAAAATTTTAAAAGAAAGAAAACGTCAACATAATTCAACCTCCCTTCTTGTGTTTTTGTCAAATTTACAAAGATCCATTTACTTTCACTCAAACACTCCCTAAAATGTTTGCAAAAAACAATTATAAGTCGAGTAATTCAAATCATAGTTTAGACCAAATACATAATCCTTTTAAAATAAGAAAGACTCTCAAATATAGTATTACACAAAAATACACAGACCAAAACAAAATTTACAACGCTCAACTAGTATCTCTTCAAAACAAGCTAGTCTTCCAATAAAGAGAAACATCTCCTTAAATAAAATAAAAAACCAGTAGAAAAGTCCAATATGGTTTAATCTTAAACGAGTTGAACTCAAAAACAGAAAATTAAATCTTCTTTAATAAAACTAAGTTCAAATCTTTTGATTAAATCATATCGAATAAAAGTATTCTTAATTTAAATATATGATTTAATAAATTCCTCTTAAATTTGATTAGGATTAAAATACTTTTTCTAAACCCAATTTTTGTGAAATTCTGCATGAATTAAAACATAATCAAACTTTGTAATTAATGCATAAAGGATCACAAAAAAAATGAGTAGCGCCCGCCAGAGTCAAACAAAGATAAAATATATCACAACAAATCAAACAATCTTATTTAACAAGTTGCATACAAAATTAGTTAATGACTTTTAATAACACATATAACTCAATCATTTTTTATGTTAAACTAATCTATAATATTTAGTGTTAAGATTATGTCCTAAGGACAAATTGTTATCTTGTTTTATATATATTTTTAGTCATGTATAATAACTACTTTTTAAGTCCCTGTTAAGAGAGATTTCTAAATTCATTTGTGGAAAGGGATGTTGTCAAAAGAGAGAATAGTGAAATTTGAAGCTGACCTACTGACCTTGTCGTCTTTCTGTTCCATCTTATCCACAATTACACTTCCATGATAAGTTGTCCATAGTATAGATAAGATTAATGCTTAAAACTAGAAGAAAAAGATAAGGACAATGAATTATTATAGTCATTATACATTAGAAAACACAATAATACTTAATTATATTATCATGATGACTCGTAATTTTTTATTGAATAGTTTGTTTTTCTTTCTAAAAAGCAAGATGTCATTGAAATATCATGACTATTTACAAGTAATTGATGATTTATATACATGGTATAGTTTTGTTTATACTATTATAAACATAACATAATCAACAAGAAAGAAAAATAAAACATGATTTTATTTTTTTACATTTAGCCCATAACCCTAAAAACTATATCATTAAACTTTATTCTTGTTGATCAAGGCATAGGCATTACTGTATATAGCCACAACGCTTGACAATACTGAAAGGACAATCATAAAAACTGATAAAATCTTGTCTGACTTTGTTGCTATGTTGTGTTTATCCCTGCAATAAAAGAAATTATATTAATTTAATTAATTATCAACACAATCATAAAATAATTTTTTTTTTATCTAAATATAATCTTAGTAGTTGCTCCAATCATGAAACTCACCTGAGAGTGATTGCAGCTGGAAATATGAATCCTACACTAACAGCAGTGGTTGCTCCCATGAATTGGAAAATAACCCAAATGCTAGGTATGAAGTTTGCTCCCAAAAATATCATACCAACGAGGGAAAAAGTAATAGAGAAAAATCTAAAGTTACCATCTACCAAAGGTCTTGTTGATGATGAAGAAAACAAGAGTCCATCGATGTTGATCCGAACTGCGTAGAAGACTACTGGAAATATAAGCACAAGATGCGCGGCATAGCTTGCCCGAACAACGTCATTGAGAATAAGACTGAACGGTATTTCAAGATCGGTATCGAAATTGGCAAGAACATCATCGAAAATTTCTTCGCCAAAGAGAAGGAATCCAAAGAAGCTTGTGAGTATGTACACTGAGGAGCATAGAACAATGGAAGTCCTCACAACTCCTTGCATCTGTTTTGAATCCTTTAGTTCATTATTTATGCTGTGAACTGTAAATATTTCAGATACAGATACATCAGTTATTTAATAAATTAAAAAAATCGAATTCATCAACTTTTATTTTTCATACCAACAGTGTGGCAAATATAGGCAGTTGTAAGTACAGGAAATGTGGTGAACAATTCGAAAACTGATGCTGCATCAGTAATGATTGGGAAGAGTCTTGGAATTATTGTGTCTCCATTTATGATCTTCACAATTGAGATTCCTGCAACAATTACAAGAAAAACACCTGCTAGTCCAATTGATACTGCAGATGTGTATCTCAAAGAATCTGCGAAACAAATTTCGTGAATCAGATAAAATAGAATAATGAAAACTATATTTAAACCTTAATTTTGTTTTTTAAAATGAGTACCAATTCTTTTAAAGCTCGTCAAAGGTACAACGACGGCAAGTGTTGTAAAAGCGAGAACAGATGTACGTCCGGTCCACCAATGAACGCCGAACCATCCTTCAAGAATACCATAATGGTGTACTCCACTTGAAGATGTTCCAGAAATTATATCACCTAAAATAAGGAATAAATAATTTAAATAAAGTTATAAGAAAATTTGTAAGTACTGAGTATAAGGAAAATGTTCCTCACCAATAATAATCATGTAAATAATCAGAAAACCAATATTATTAACTGTAATACACATCTGGACCAAAGCTTTTCCATATTTTCCAAAGCTATCTCCCATGAGACTTCCATAGGAAGAAACATTCCCTGCTCTTGAAAATCTGATGATGAAATCAATAGACTTTTCTGTATATAATGATGAGAGGATTATGGCTATAAGACCAGGTACCATTCCCAATTTTTTAACACAAGCAGGCAAACTCATGATTCCAGCACCAATAATTGTGGTTGACAAATTAAAAACAGCACTAGAAAATGAAGCTCCACTAAAATCATCCAACTTAACATCACTTTCTTGAGTCTTAGGTAACAAAGGTGCATTCTCATCAACCATTCCAATAGTCATTTTCAGCTTTCAAGTTCTCTATTTTTTTTACTATGAAGGAAAAGATAGAAGCAAGAGAAAGAGGGTGGTGTGGTGGTGATGATTACAAACATTTGTAACAAGTATAAATAAGCCAAACATAGAAACCCCTCAACAACTGTTAACATGTTTATGTAAAAAAATGTTTTAATCATTGACATTAATTTTCTTATATTTATAGAAAGTTTAATAATTTTTTTTTTCATGAATTGGCTAATAATGACTTCTACTTTAAAGGATTTAATTAGTTGAAACATCCTAAATCTATTAGGGGAATAATTTCCATAGAAGTTTGTCTTAGAATCTTATGTCTTATGTGTGTTTCAATATGTCACCATACTATTGTTTTCTTTTTATCATTGAATAGTATTTTTGGGATGCTTAAAATAACTATCCGGTTGTTGAATGCCAATAGAGTTGACATGTCATTAGTTTATAAAGGTGACTTTGTACTTTTAATTTTTGTTTTAAAAAAGATTGTAAAAATTATATGTAAACAGAAAAGAGAGAAACAATAGGGGGAGCTACAAGAAACCAGTTTCAAGGTCAAGAAAATGAAAATAGGCCTACCAAGCCTATTTCAAACACATTCTTCTCTAATGAAGATAGGATAACTATCAAACCAAATATCATCCACTAAAGACAGATCTAACTTGGCGTGCATATCCGCACAGTGATTATCAAAAATTAAATTAACAATAAATTTATAATAAGTTTAAGAAAATTTAATTAAATTAAAAAAATGATTATCTTTAATTTTTTAGTTTCCCTCACTTCAGAACAAATCAATTTTAATTTCTCACTCATTTATAAATCTATTTCACAAGCCAATTTCGGTTTAATAATATTAATAATTACTTCCCTTTTTCCAATTAATTTTTCAAGTTCTGTCTTCTCTTTTTTTAGTGTTTTCTTTCAGCCCTAAGCCCTAATCCTTGTTTCCAACAAGTTCAAACAATAACATGAAGACTTCGACAGACATCATAAATTTATTTTCTTATATACTCTAGATTGAATGGGTTAGATTTTATAAATGATATTTGATGTGTTTGGATAATATCCCACTTCTGAATCTGATACATTGTGTGCATCTGAACGAGAATGAATAGTTTGCAATTTTGCTTCAATTTTATAGCTTAATTATTAGCCACTTTTCTGAATGAGAATGAATTACATTAGGATCTATCATTTGTTAACTTTAAGCTATATGCTTTTTGGACTCATATCATGGCAAGTTACTAGAGACTTTTTTTGAGCTAATTAGGTTGTTGAACAAGTTATTGTTTTGATCAAATTATATTTGTTAATGATGTTTTAATGGTCTTGACTTGAGCTATTTTTTGTGATAGAGACTTTTTTTGAGCTAATTAGGTTGTTGACATGTATAAGCTAAAATTCAACTAATTTATTTTGACTTTTAGCTATTAGTTTCCTGTATTTCCATTAGGCATAATTTGTGCTTTCTTATAAAAAATGTTCCTTAACAACATTGTGTAGCTATGTATCCAAAATGTGCATGTGCTAGTTGGTTAAGGTTTAATATTGTATTCACTAATTTTGATACCTTCTTGAACTATTATGAGTTGTGTGACTAGCTATTTGAAATAATTTTCTTGAGAGTAATGAATAATTTTCCACGCCATTCTTCCTATTATGTTTTTTGGGTTTATTTATTCATAGTTAACCAATAATCAAGTTTTTGACTGGTTAAATATAGTTATTGTGAAGAACCATGACAGATTTTGATTTTCAAATATACAAATAGAATTTCACTTCCATTTCTTTTGATGAGTTGGATTAGAGCTCTATTATTTATATTAAATAGGGTAAACAATTTATAGTCATTGTTGTAGAGAGAATTCCATGCATTGCTAGAATTTGCACTTGTACATATAATCTATTTGGTCAGTCCTATTGTTTTTAAGCATAGTTGACAATTGTAATATAGCTATGGTATATGTCTAAACCTTATATTAATATGTATGAAAAACAACTCCTTGAATGAGGCCGGTCTTGTTTGAACTAGAATAAGCTCTTTGAATGAAAATCAACATTCAAAGGTGTAAGAAATAGTTTGCATAAGAGAAAATGGCTATTCTTTCTCACTACGCGATTCTATGATGCTTCATCCCTTCACTGTATGGTATACACTTACTCATTCACTCAGTTCCTATTCTCTTTCTTTTCTCCTCTTTTAATTTTCGGTTGAACAAACCGGTCATGTACAGCTTCAACGCTCCTTCGCTCTTGCCTCAGACCCACAATTCGATGATGCACCATTTTGTCTTCTATCTCTCTTGAAAGGACCGTTGGTTGAAGGATGGTGGCCGGAATTCTAGATTTTTTCATAAAATTATGAAAGAAAGATATAGAAGAAATTTCATATCCTTTGTCAATTTGGTTGACGCTAGGAAGGAGAAAGTGGATGAGATCCAAAGTGAAGTGCGTAATTTCTTTAAGGCTGGGTACGGTGGTTAAAGAATAGAAAAGAGACTCGATAGGACATCTCCGCCCTATGCCTACGTATTCCCTCGTGCAATAGGAAAGTCAGAGTCAACGTAGTTCGGGAAACTACGGGTGATGGGGGGAAGGTTGCTCGTCAAGACATCATCGTCTTGTGCCTACGTATCCTCGTCTGGTATGAGAAATCAGAGCAAACGTAGTTCGGGCTGACACGACCACTGGTTGGTTCAAGTGTTTTACTGAGTAGGGTTAAATCTTCATTCCAGCAGTAAGGGACGATGCCTGTTTGCGATAGAACAAAGACTTAACACACTCTTTCTGAAAATGAGTTTGCAAATAATCCCGAAGGATAAAAAGGTTTGATTTTTGTTTGTGTTTTTTATGAGAAGAAGTGAATTGAGTTAGGTTTGTAACTCATGTTGCACTAGAGACTATGACTTGAGAGCGAATGCGTCGCATATCGCCCAAAGGGCATACGCTAAACACTCTAGACAGTGTGAGAGGAGGCCCCTCACCTATCATTTCTCATGTGCTTAAGGATCGTAGCATACAACAATTGTTAACCTTTATTAAGTGTCTTAAGAAGTTATGAGAAGAGAAGAGAAGATACAACACTCTAAGGGGAACTGATCAACCCTAATGTTATCATGCAATGTGATCCTAAAGTTGGGATTGAAAAGGAAACTACCTAATGTTATCATGCTTGGATTGAAGGCCTAAAGTCTCTCCTACTCCCATCTTAAACAGAGGGACTAGGAATCCTAAGGGATCATGGCAAAAGAGCACAAGTAAATGTTAGGACAGTGGTAAAGTATTGGGGTTTGTTATCGTCTCCACAGGGAATCTGTGATATTGTCGTCGTTCGACAGTTGTCAAGTTTTTAACTTATAGTAACAATGGGGGTTTGGTTTTTCATTACGGTAGCTTGCATAGAAAAAAATAATAAATGCGGTAAAAGTTTAGGTTTTACGATTTGAGAAAGATTGTCAAAGTTAGGGTTCGATGATCACTTTGCATGTATGTGTTCGATCAACAAAACTAGTAAACTCTGTTAGATGAAAAACGCATTCACAATATCCTCTCAATGTGATTATTTCTAACTCACATTGTGGTTTTTCCCATTTTGATCCATTGTTGATTTCTCACACAATCTATCAAAATGACAACTTTTAGGGTTTGATATTTTACTGAACAACCACATTCAAGACTATCTCTAGCTCAAGAACATAGATGGATGAAAACCTAGGTAAAGAGTTGGAAAATACCTTTCAATCATAAACCAACACAAAGAGTTAACAATAAAACAAATTTTTCACCATATATTCATCATCAAAGAGTTTACAAATGAAGATCATCCCATTTACATACAAAGCTTGTGATCATCTACATTTAACCTTGACAAAATGAAGGACTTAGCTACTCATTTTCATGGTAGATTGCACAAGAAGTTCGGGAGACAGTTGATCAACATCCGAGTTGAAGAATCGAGTTTGGATGAGAATCCACCTTATTTTTGGAAATCTTGTTAAGAGATGAAGAATAATGAAAGATTGGGCTATTAGGTCACAAATATCTCCCTTGGAGCAAAACAAAACAAAGTGGTTGAAAAAAAGTAGAAAAGATATTTTTTTTACAAAAGTAGCTCATGCTACTTATAGACAAATAAAGTGTTGTTCTACCACGCTCGCTACCTTACTCGCCTAGAGAGGTCATAGCGAGCGTTCGCTACCTGCTCGCCCAGCGAACATGCTAGCGAGGTCTGGGATGTTGCTACTGGAAGCGTTCGCTGACTTGCTCGCTAGGTGTTCTCCTAGCGAGTTCTTCGTTGCCTTCCTCGCCCTAAGCGAAGATGATCAATTTGATTCTGTCCAAGTCTCGGAGTGTTCGCTAGCAGCTCGCTATGAGCTCGCCTAGCGAATGTTCGCTACCTCACTCACTTAGCGAACATGCTAGCGAGCTTGCTTTTGATTGCTTTCTTTCTTGATTCCTTTGCCACTTTTCTTGTGTCTTCAAGTTCTACTCTTTCATGCCTAAATACTGCACAATAACACACAAATCAAAAGGACCAAGAGTATTTCACATAATGTTGCATATAAACAAAAGCAAGGTGGTTTTGAACACAAACTTGACAAAAAGGAGCGAAAGATGCCCATATTTGATAGCTCAAATAAGCACAATTGGGCATCTAACAGTAAACACGTAGCAATTCAATCATAAATAAAAAGAGATGAAGGATGAAAGTGACTTAAAAAAGTCAATGCAATAAGAGATGCAGACATGAAATACAAACACAAATGCAAGTATGAAAAGATGCAACAAGACTCAAAAACAAGAGACTCAAACACAAAGAAATGACTTAAAGAAGTCAAGAAGGATGAGATGAAATGGGAGAAGTAGACTCCTACAACCATCAACCATCAATAATCACAAAATAGGAATTCTAAGCATAAAACAAGATTAAAGAAGTATGATCAAAGAAATGATGGGAGAAAGAGGATAAGGCAACAACCACATGAAGG